AAATGCAGGTTTTGGTCCAGTTGTAAGCAGGCAAGCGATTAGTATTTAAAGAATGAGTGAGGGCTGGGCTGTGGCTCAGTGGTAGATGCTCCCATAACACCCATGAGGCCCGGGGTTCGATCCTCAGCACCACATAAAAATAAAATAAAGGTATTGTGTCCACCTACAACTTAAAAAGTTTTTTAAAAAAAAATGAATGAGAAAGAAAAATGTCCTCATGGCCACCACCTCATGACAGCTTGGGGACGTCACGCTTCCTCACATGGGTCCTGTGACTCCCTGTGCTGGGAATCCTGAGGCCTCTGGACAGATCTGGTCCGGAGGCCGGGGGCGGGGACCAGCCTAGGCTCCCTCCCCATCCTTCACCCAGGCAGGTCCCAAAGCCCTTGTCCAGCGGGGCTGATTGATGGCCTGCAGTGGCCTCCTTTGACGCCAGGGTGAGGCCCAGCAGCTGTTTAACAGCCCTGCGAGTGACCCTGGTCAGCACTTTCAAGGCAGGAAGCGCAGAAGAATAGAGTGTCCACTTAAAGCCACCACAAAGGCAGTGGGGGTGGGGGACTTCCTCCCATCGTCACCGGGCCAGCGGCTGGACGCTCTAATTGCACACACCAGTGAGGGGCCCACGGGAAGCGTGGGGAAGGGGCATGAACCGGGCGAAATGGCCCTGGACCGCTCCAGCCGGCCCCTCCTCACCCGGGCAGACCATGGAACCTGCAGCGCCTCCCACACACGCCCTGCAGCATACAATCGCCGGCCGGGCAACAGCACCCATCTGGGAGGGCTTTGGTTTCAGGAGCCGTCCTGCGTCACCTGGTGTCTCTCCAGAGGCACAGTCAACGTGTGCCCAGTTCCCTCGTCCATCTGCTGTGTGTTGCCTGTGGGTCATCTGCTTCCCTGGCCTTGTGCAGCTGAGTCTCTTCCCAGGTCCTGCTGCGAGGATCCACCGCTATGGTCTAGGTAAGTGTCCCCCAAAGGACACTTACCTAGATCGAGTGGGAGACTCGACCCTGCACCTGTGGCACTACTGAAAAATAGTGTGACCTTTAGGGAGCAAGGCCTAGTGAGAGGAAGTCAGCTCACCGGGGCAGGCTTGAAGGGGACATTGGGATCCTGGCCCCTCCTGTCTCTTTCTCTGCTTTCTGGCTGTCATGATATGAACACCTTCCTCTGTCATGCACTCCGGCCATGATGTGCTGATTCACCACAGTCACCAAAGCAACAGGCCAACCTACCATGGGCTGAAACCTGCAAGACTGAACCAAAATAAACCTTTTTTTCTTTTAAGTTGGTTAGCTCAGGTATTTTGTTACAGTAATGGAAAACTGACTGACACACCTTCCCAGCCCATGACTCGCTCCTGTGCGTCACTATTGAAAGAAGGAAAAAAGGAAACCAGATTCAAGTAGACTCTCCCGGCCTTCACGATGGACGGATGCCTGATTCAATGACGTTTTGGTAAACATATTTTGCTTCTCCTTCCATCCACCCTCCTGTTCCTTAGGCTACTCCTGGACCTTGGGCCTTTTCCCAGTGTGATTTAAGAAAATCATGTAACATCCCGGCCTATCGAGTGCTATGCTTTCTGACTGCAGAGGCATATGGAGGTAACTCCACCTTTTTTTAAGACCTAAAGCCTATACACTTTTAAATGCAAAACGAATACAAAATCGTGAACACAAATTAGATGTGGGAAGTTGAGAGAGGTCTGAACAAGCGAAGGGCCTCCATGCTTATAATTCATTAGCTTCCTGATAAATCTGCTTAGGGGCCTAAGGATATGTATGAAAGCTCTTCTCCAGGAGTTTGGCCTTCCTGACCTGGAGCCAAGTTCACTGAGCAAACACAAAACCCCTAAGTCCCAGGAAAGCTCTCCCACTGTAATAGGAGTCAGGAGGAACCACCTCTTTGCTTCTCCGCCCACCTAAATGCTGCACAAATGGATGTAGATATCTCTTAAGGCAGAGCCGGGGATTGCCATCCTAAGAAAGCTATAATGGGCCCACGTTTTCTTGGTTTGCCAACGGGCATTTGGCTGGAGCGGGGAGCTTACCCCTGAGCCACCCACCAAAGCAGGCATGGGCAAGCATGGACCCAGGGCCCACAGGGTGCTGCCCAAACTAGGAACCATGAAAGAAAAGCAGAAGTAGGAGTCAGCCCTTTCCTCCGTGTGGGAGCTAAAACTCTTGACCGAGAGACCTTGGAACTTTGTGACCCTGGGTTACACCACATTGTATTGCAATAACTCAGGCAGGGACAGGGGCTTAGGCCATAAAAGACTTCAGGGCCTGGTGTTGAAACAGTGTGATGAGCGCGAGTCAGGGGGTCATCTGGACTTGGGTTGCTTCTCCCGTGCAATGGAGCTGCGCAAACCAGCATCTCCGCGGTCTCCTCACATCCTGTGAAGTCACAAAATGTCCATCTGGGGACTCACTGTTTGTTTGAGCCATTCCATTCCTTCTCCAGTCGAGTTGGGACCTCGCTTGTCCCAACCTCCCACTGCCTCTGTCTCTGTCCCCTTCTGGCTCCGTCAAGGCTGCTCTCTGATCAAACTGCAGACTGCGGTGTGGTAACCAAATGGGAAAACAGGCTTCAGTGCACCGACTTCCAAAACAGGCACCTTGAGACAGGACAGAGCAGGGAGAGAAAGACCAAGAACCCGTCTTCTTTTGGAAACTTGTCCTGTTTCCCATAGTTTCATGATTGCTATGGCCAAAAAAAAAAAAAAAGTAAAAGAGTCAACACTAAAAAGGTGAGTGTCTCGGATGAGAGGAGGACCCCAGAACTCCTCGAGGACTGATAATATCTATTGAGCCAGACAGGCCAGCCCTGGGGAGGCCAGGACAGCAAGGGAAGATGGCCAGGCAGGATGGACCGGGCATCTCTCTCCAGAAATACACTAAACATGGTTGTTTCCCATGCTGGGGGCCAACCCCGCGTGGCCCTCAGGGGCCTAGCTGTCCTTGAGCCTGTCCCATGAGTCATTAAGAAAGCCGCTGAGCTCCCATCCGTCTTGGCTGCTAGACTCCTGAAGGCTGCCTCCCTCACCCCAGCCCATCTGCCAGCCCTGGTGTATCTCGCCATCTCCTTTTTCTCTTCCCCTCACCTCCGAATGCTCCTCCTGCCCTGCGACACCAGGGGACTGTGCTTTTCCTTTCCCACAGCCAGGGACGTGTCAAACTCTCCCCACCCCACGCTGCTCTTGGAGATATTCCCCTGCTTGGGGGCTCTGTTCTCAGGCTCCTTCTAGCACATTCTCTAGCTCTCCTTCCTCTCATCCCCACCCACCTGCTTCAAATAATGCAATCCTTACAGAGGATGCTTCTTGGGGTGCTTAAGAAACGACATGGGGCGTGACCCTGACCTGAGCCCCTCGTGACCGACGTACAAATCCGATTTCATGGGTTAGTATTAGGTGGAGCCAGGCAAAATGGCTGTTATTCAACCATGTTGACATCCAAAAAGAATGACAACTTCGTGAACTTCAATCTAATGAAAGAACCTGGAATTCTAATATCAGAAACATATTAGCTGGCATCCCACCATACAAATTTGGAAGTGGGGCAGGGGAAAGGAGCAGGGTCTATTGTTTTTTGCAAAATAAAGTCCTTCTCAGCTAGGGGTGATTCTGCCCTGAGAGGGGATGATGGGAAGGGTATGGCTATATTTTTTGTTATCACAATGGGATGGGAGATGACATTGGCATATAAGGGAGAGAGGTCAGAATGCTGCTAAATGTCCTACAATACATGGGGCGCCTCTCCACCATGATGAATTATTTGGCCTAGCACTCAATAGTATGGGTAGAGTATCCCTTATCCAAAATGCTTAGGACAAGAAGTGTTTCCCGTGTCAGATTTGGGTGTTTGGGAATTTTTTCATATGCATGGAGATATTTTAGAGATAGAACTCAAGTCTAAACATGAAATTCATTTGTTTCACCTATAACCTTATACACATGGCAGGAAGGTAATTTTTCATTACTTTTAGTGCACTGAGGAGTGTAGTGCTTTGACTTCAACCAGTCACGTAAGGTCAGGTGTGGAATATTCCGCTTGTGGATTTGGATCAGCTCTCAAAGAGGTTCAGATTCTTAAGCATTTCTGATTTTGGATTTTCATATTAGGGATGTTTTCACCTACGCTAACAAGGTTGATAAAAACTTGGCGTCAAGTGTTTTCTGGGGACCCAGAGTCTTAGACATGTAGTTAAGCAACTTACACTGAGACGACAGCTCTGGTCACCCAGCCAAGGAGGACATTGTGTCCACATCCTCTGCTCTGAGGCAGATCCAAGCGGAACAACTGACTCCCCCAACCCTCCTGGGATCCAATGCTACTCCCTGGACTGGCCACCTCCTGGAAGCTGTTCACAGGTGTCGCAAGTAGCCTGCTGCAATGGGCATTTTCAATATGCCCAAATCCCTGAGCCAGAGACTGGGCTCAATCCTGTGCCCTTGAAGTTCCCTGCAAGAGAAGGGCTCATGCCCTTCCCTGCAGCATGCAAGGCTGCTCCCGCCAGGCTGTGCACCCAGGCTCCTAAAACCACAGAGCACAGCCCTCCCCCAGCAGAGACCGCTCCCTCCCGCCAGCTGTGGCAGGCTCACGTTATTTCCTGGAAGGGATTATGTGTCACTCTCAGTGATGGAAAAGGGAGCTTAAGAGGTTGCCCGGCACACTCTCCCTTGCCTCCCCAGCTGCTGCTGCTCCCCACCATTAGGCAAAGAGCTGGAGAGAGGCTGAATAAGTACAGTTCACGGGCACCGCACCTGAGCTATATTCGCCCTTCCTAAGCAACCAACTGGGCTCTTTCCACCTCTTTCTCTTGGCAGGAAGTCCACATGAGGCTGCAGAACACTTGCCTCTGTTTCCAAACTTGAACCTGACCTACAGCCACAAAAATATCACCCACGGAAGGAAATGGAAGGAATGATGGGAATCATCTAAACAAGGCCATGTCAGAATTTCCAAAAAATAATAAAGTCACAATAGGGTGCTCCACGAGATTCCTTATGAAAGAGATTCCTCGATCTCGGCAGAAAACCCTCGCAGGTACCAAGGGCCTCAGCCAACAGACGTCTTCCTGCTGCCTGACCCAGCTTCTCTGTGTCCAGCTGCAACTGAAACCCTGCAGTGAAACCAGGGGCAGGGTGGGGGAGTATTTTTGAAAATAAAACAGGAGACATATGATCCGTTCCAATACTTAGCTGTTCTCTGCTTTTCGGAACTTAAAACCTGCCTCGCGTCCACCAAATGACACAGAGTGCTGGCAGATGGAGCCGAGAGAAAAGGCTAAATGTATTTTAATGGGACCATTAGGATTATGTCAAAAGGTGAGAAGAAAGCGTTTGCCTGCCAAGAAAATAAGCATCAGTCTAAAAGAAATAGAGTGTGATCCATCGCTCCAGTGCTTTCCCACCCACTCCATTTTTTTTTTGGGGGGGTGGCAGTTTATGAAACTCTGATTCCATAGGAAAGATCCTAGGTCACCCGTGGTAGGCCAACTGATGTGGGCAGAAACACTGGTTGAGCCAAATGGAATCTGCTCAACTTTCAGCCTCCTGGAGCCTCCAGTGTTGGGATTTTTCATTTGACAGACCAACCAACCACCCATATCTTCACCGCCAGCACCAACAGTCCCCTCTCAGCCTCTTGAAGCTGGCTATTAAACCTTGGAACTCTACAAGAAGTTCAAAGCAGAACAGAGATTTCCATTGGAACCAGAACAGGTTCTCTCCTGCTTGCTCCACAGCACACAGATGGGAGGCAGTTATCAACTCCACATCCCGGGCTTCTATTTGGCCTTCCTGGTAATAACAACAAAGGGAGCCTCCAGGGGAATGGCTTTTGACCATTGACAAGGCAATCTGACACCCATTTTCTCCTGAGCTCCTTAAGGGAAGGGAAAAAAACCCTCAAAATTTAGCTGGGCTTTCTAGTCTCCTTTTACAGATAAGGAAACAACCCACAACTGATGAGAAATCCTTAGGCGAGCTCAGCAGGGACGGAACCTCCCGTGGAGCAGAAAGACAAAAGCCCTCTTGATCCTCATTGTCAGTGCAAATCCAGACCATGAAGGCAGAGCCTCGGGAAGCTTCTGAAATGTTAAAAGATAAAAAACAATTTTTTTAAAAAAGAGAGACATTGGCAACAAAAGCCTGTCTGCAACTGGCTGGGCCATCACAGTGACCTCGGCAATCCCCGTGCAGAGACAAAGGGGAGGGCAAGATGGCACCCTGGCTAAAACCCAGAGGTGTACCTCCACTGACCACATCCTTCAGTTCCAACAAGGACATCGCCTGTGTGGTCATGCACACCGAAATACTCCAGCATTAACAGTGTGTGTGTGTGTGTGTGTGTGTGTGTGTATGCACGCTACAATCTATCAGCTACAGGTGGTTAATCACCACGTGATCCTCATAGTCACAATTCCTACACGGATACTACCAGAATCCATCAGAACACTAATAGCAAACTACCCCAGAGGGGTTCACTGTTAGCATGAAAGATGCAATTTTGTTTTTCTTTTTGGCAAAATTATTGGGAGTGTGATATTTAGGGGGGGGAGAAAAATTACTCAGGTACCACTACACCTGTACAGGTAAGGAATAAGAACCCTGAGAGCCCCAGTTGGAATATTCTAGAAGTAACAGGATAGGCCTTCAACTCAGCTGAGGTCTGTACCACTCTCCACGTGGGGTACACTGTTACCTGGCCCAAAGACCGGAACTATGTCACTTCAGAATGAACGCACACTAAAGGTATTTGTTCTCATGCTTGAGAGTGCTGCAGAACTTGCAAATAAATGCATGCTCTAAGATGTGCTTTGAACCTGGCCATGAGGCTGTGGGCAATGTGCTATCTGACCTTCACCTGCCTTTTTTGATTGTGTGTGTCCTCAGGATTAAACCCAAGGCCTGGCTCCACCTGTCCCCTAATTGCCAGAGGCTGCCCATATTCATCAGATGAACCTAATTGCAAGATGCTGTGTGGCTCAGGTTGCAGCCAATGCTGGGAGCCTCCTTGTGATGGCAATGGCCTCCCCTCTGGACAGGGTTCAGAGATGAGTAAAACGGGGCCCAAACGGGTAAGCTGACCACCAGGAGAGGGGATCCAGCAGTGAGCCAGCAGGTTAAGCACGGGAACACAAAATGGTCCACAGCAAAGGAGAGGCACAAAAAGAAACGTCAGAGACTGTGAGACAGGGGAAGGCATGCCTGACCAACACCCGCAGATATCCCTGTCCCTGTCACTCATTCGAGCATTCACAGCAAACTAGAAGAAGAGTGGGCCCTGTCTGCAAAAGAAAGAACAACTTTTTTTTCCTTTTTTGTTTCCGGAGATTGAACCCAGAGGTGCTTTACCACTGAGCCACATCCCCAGCCCTTTCTTTTATTTTTATTTTTGAGACAAAGTCTCACCAATTTGTTTAGGGCCTCACTAAATTGCTGGGGCTGGCCTTGAACTTGTGATCCTCCTGCCTCAGCCTCCCTAGCCTCTGGGAGCCACAGTGCTCAGCTATGTACAACTTCTCCATAAAGTAATAATTCATCTCCTTAACAAAGGAGACCCTTCAGCCCCCAAAACTGATGATGGACAGCAAATAACAAAAGAGGAAAAATGGTCATGAAATCAGCCATTTATATCCACGCCCAAAAATGAAGGGGTGCCAGGAGTCGTGTCACTCACTGGTAGAGCTCTCGTGTTACACGTGCATGGCCCCGGTTCAATCCCAGTATCACAAAAAAAGACACAGCCAGGAGCAGTGGTGCAGGCCTATAATCCCAGCAACTCAGGAGACTGAGGCAGAAGGACTGCAAATTTGAGGGCAGCCTCAGCAACTTAGCAAGGCCCTGAACAACTTAGTGAGACCCTGTCTCAGAATTTAAAAAAAAAAAAAATGGCTGGGGATGAGGCTCAGTGGTTAAACGCCCCTGGGCTCAATCCCTGGTACCAAAAGAAAAAGAAATGTATGCCATATCCAATTCTGTCTGCCCCGCTAATACCTTTAAGTCCATTCATATTTTTATCTTAAAACAAAATATTCTTGTGTCAAATAATAATTTTGACATGAATGGTAAAGTGAAAACCAAGTCCACTTATCATAAGCAGAAGGCAGCTATGAAAATAAATTCAACGAAAAAAACTTCAGGAAAACACTGGGGCTCAGGATTTCCTGGCTCTTTGCTAAACCAAAAATGATGATGTTGATGATCATGGTGATGAAGAAGAAGAAGGCAGAGGAGGAAGAGGAGGAGGAGACAGGAGAAGAAGGAGGAGGAGGAGGAGACAGGAGGAGGAGGAGGAGGAGGAGGAAGGAGGAGGAGGAGGAGGAGGAGGAGGAGGAGGAGGAGGAGGAGAGGAAGAAAACAGAAAAAGAAGTGTCAGGGAAGAGTTCAAAACACTTTACGACCAAACTGAAAACCTCTGCCCTGCTGTGCCAGAAGTGCACTTGAGAGGCCATGTTTCTTGCTACATCACTTACTATGTGACCTATTGCCTGTGGCCACCTGTAGGAAACACCTGTGCCCCACCCCCAAGGCTGCCAGGCAGGACCCTGACCTGTCCTCAGGGGAAAGCACTCTCTCCCAGACACTCAGAGGAGGAGGCTCATCATTGCCCACAATAACCACTGTGAAGTTTCATTTCTCATGAAACGCGAGGATGATTTAGAAACAATGACGTGTATTCTTTAAAATAAATACCAAGTCAACTTTTAAGTCCGGAAATCTCCCCTTAAGATGCTCTCCAATCTGTGGCGGCTGCAAAATTCTTTGATAATACATCAATTGGTTACAGATCGATGGGGCAGGAGAGAAGAAAGCTCTATTTAAGTCCCATTTTTCAAAACCTCTGAGAGCTGGCATTATGGAGGCATTGGGGTTGGCCAGCAGCTGGGCAGGTCCAAACCACAAGGACAAAGTGGGAAGAGGAGGATTAAAGGTGACCTTCTGGACATGGCCAGGGGCGGAACCAACAAGCATCTCAGAATAAGATTCAAGTCAGTCTCCCAGAGGTGACTGAATGTCCAGACGCTGGAAATGAGCCTTGCAATTCCCTGGTGCCCAGTACTAGATAAGGGAAAGCCCTGGCTGATCTCTGTTGGCCCTCTGAGTGCTGAGCCAAGGAGAGCTGGGCTAAGGAAACACCCAGAATCAAGGTGAGGTGTGTCCCGGATAAACTGCTAGCATATTGAGCAGACAAAGAACCTCACCCACACTCCACCTGAAATCCACACATCCAGACCTGCACTGGGAGACTCCACCTCTCCCTCCACACTGCCCTTCACTGACCCCTAAAACCCTCCCCCACACACACATCTCCACCATGAAGTTGTGTAATTGATTAAAACCACTTGGATTCAAATGCCAACGCCCAGAGTAAAGTGCTCAGTTATTTAGTCATCAAATCTTTTCTGACAGGCCTCCTAGGAGCTGGGCCCTGCTGGGCGCTGGCTGGCACCCGCAGTCTCTCCAAGACAAGGGAAGGAAACAGGTGGAGGGAGGGAAATGCTTTCTCTCTGGCCTCCTGGGTTCCTTGGCTGGGGCCCTGTGAATCAGACCCATGAAAGACAGATTAACAAGAGAAAAACAAACTCCTACATCTGCTTCAACACAAGAGCACCGGTGATAAGTGGCTGGAGGGGCTGGCGAGACCTAGGGGTCTTCATACCTAACAGCAGGAGGGAAGGGGAGCAGAGACACTCAGCCCTAGGCAAAACAAACAACTGAAAGATAAATAAATGGGCTCTGAGGAGAGCAGATAGGTGACAAGATAGTCTTAGGACCTGTCTGGGGGACTTGGAGACTTCCAGTCTCCAAGGAGAGATTACTGAGCTGCTCCCAGGAAGGGGATTTCTGATAAATGAGTTGGGGGCGGGGAGGGTCTGCTTTTAGGCAAATAAGGGATTTCAGCGTGAATGCCTTCAGCTCAAGATAAATCAGTCTTATGTCAAAAAGGCACATTTGGGGGTGACACATGCAGGTCCCCCTCACAAGCGATGACATGGGTGCAAGAAAGGGCACAAAGACCCTGGGTTCAATCCCCAGCACCACACACAAAATCAGAAAGGCCACAAGCTGTGTCCCCCTCTACCCTGCCATCTCAGGAACATCTCCCCAGGGACCC